CGCAGTTTCATCAGTTTCATGGTATGTCTGTCCTGTTTGGAGCTCGACGGTCGTGATCATGATGTGAAGATTTTCTCTTTATTCTCTTTAATTCAGTTCAGCATGTGACTCAGGATCAACACGAAGAGTAAATAATGAAGCTGAAGATACCTTTTGTTTTTTCCAAAATTCCATTTTATTTTTTAACCAAGTTCTGTTTTATTTTTTCCCAAATTGTTTTATTTTTAACCTGATACTGTTTTATCTTTATTTTTTATTTTTTTCAAATTCTATTTTACTTTTTTAACAAATTCTGTTTTATTTTCCCCAAATTCCATTTTATTTTTTAACCAAGTTCTGTTTTATTTATTCCCAAATTGTTTTATTTTTAACCTAATACCATTTTATCTTTTTCTTAACCCAAATTCTATTTTACTTTTTTATCAAATTCTGTTTTATTTTTTCCTTACATGAAGAGTAAATCATGAAGCCGAAGACACTTTTATTTTTGCCCAAATTCTGTTTTATTTCCCCCCAAATTCCATGTTATATTATTTTTATTTATTACCAAATTCTGTTTTATTTTCCCCCAAATTCCATGTTATATTTTTTAAATTTTTTTATTTATTACCAAATTCTGTTTTATTTTTTCAAAAATTCCATTTAATTTTTTAACCAAGTTTTTTCCCCCCCAAATTTTTTAACCAAATACCATTTTATTTTTTTTAAGAAATTCAGTTTAATTTTTCCCCAAATTGTATTAATTAATTAATTCATTCATTCATTCATGTATTTATTTATATATATATATATATATATATATTTTTTTTTTAAACCAAATTCCATCTTTCCCCCATTTTAATTCGTCCGGATTCTGAATTTTTATAAAGAAAAAGCATGTGTAATTAATTGAAATCTTGAATATATACAGTATATACAAATTTAAACAGTTTACCGAGTAAAAAAAAAGAAAAAACAACAAAAATGAAATGTTGAGTGTAATTGCATTAGCGTTTGAAGCGTGGTGTTTCTGGTGCTGTGTGCTGGTGGAGATGATCTGACACTAACTAGTCCAGCTGCGGCTGGTTGAGCGGTCAGTGCACTGGACGCAGCAGGCTCCGGCTCCGGCTCCGGCTCCTTCAGCAGATGTTGTACAGCAGGAGATATCTCTGAAGAGCGATACACGATATTAATTCTCTTGCTCTCTTCACAGATATCTCCCAAGAAAGTCCGGCTGGCTGAATCACCGTTGCGAAAA